ATCAGAATTACGAATTTTCATTTAATAATAACGAATACACAGACATTGGTGGTATTTGTAACGAAGAGAGTATTTGCAAAGACGCGAAACGTACAATAGATACGAACGGAACGACCAGACAAATAGCACTCTATAATCCAATCATCCAAACAAATAACTTTGAACAAGTCGATAACGACGGTATAAAAACAGGCAACAAAATGACGCAACCGTTACGTTTACCACTTAAATACGTTGCAGATTTAGTTCCAAAGTTCGATGGAAAAAATATGACAACTAATGAATATATTGAAAAATTGAAACACGTAAAAACAACTGTTTCTGAGTTAGATGAACCAAGTTTAATATCAATTCTGAAAATTAAATTGGGCGGAGAAGTTTATAAAGCATTAGTAAACATCAAAATAGATAAGATAAATGATTATATCAAAGTGATAAGGCAGCTATTTCCCTCCTTTGACAATATTCATAGTTTATATGGGAAATTTACGGAAATCATCCAAAAACCAAATGAACCCGTCTTAGCATATGCAAACCGTTTACAGGAAATAGTTTTGCAAATTAAAGAAATGAAAAAGTTAGAAGCAGATGTAACTGACGAAGACTTCAAAACGTATGAAACAGTATTAAATGCTGACGCGTTAAAAATTTTTAAACAAGGTTTACAACAAGACATTCGTCTGGAATTAGGAAATCACATTAATTTGGGCACTGCTTTACAAGACGCTATTGAAATTGAAACAAATTTAAAAAAACAAAGATTATTGAGGGGTGATATCGCTAGTCCCTTTCATAGTAATGTAGACTCGGTTACTGCTTCAACAAATGTTACTCACATATATAATTGTCAAATTTGTCAGGACTATAACCATGAAGCTTTATTTTGTTACAAAGGAGCTTGTGTATATTGTAAGAACAAAGATCACCTGTCAAACAATTGTAAAATTGTAAATAAAAAGATCGAATTAATATGTAAATTCTGTAATGCTCAGGGGCATTCTATAGACGGTTGCAAATTTAACAGAGTTAAAGGAAATCATTGTCAATATTGTCAGGTGATGGGTCATACAGTTACATAATGCCCATTTATTATAGAATTTGAAGTATGTTGGAAATGTAAGGAAAGCGGACACGCCCCGCACAACTGTTCAAAATCTTTCAAATCAACGAACTTTTGCGTTGTTTGCGACAGCAGCGACCATACGATACGCAATTGCCCAAATGTGACATGCAGACGTTGCAATGAAATCGGTCACTCAGTAAAATATTGCCCAAACGCGGACGAAACGAAAGAACGTAGATTTGCAATATGTACAATCTGTCAAGAAAAAGATCATGAAGCAAATAATTGTGAATTGGCAAGAATCCTGGTTAGCTATAGTAAGAACAATAGAAGTAACGATAATAAAATCAGTTCAAATACAAATTCTAGTGACAATAAACGCAGAAATGGAAATTTTAATCACGATAACGGACCTTCACGATTCAATAATTTTGGGAAAAGAAATAATGACACTAAGTGTGATTATTGCCACATGAATAATCATGTAATTGACAATTGTTTGAAATTGAGAGCTTTAGAAAGAAACGCAAAAACCACTAGTATTTGTACTTATTGCAAGGAATCAGGTCATAAAGTCGAATCATGTCCAATTATAAAATCACTAGAAAATAACCAAGAAAAATTTTGTACAATTTGTAAACGTACCGATCATACAGAGTCGACTTGTTTTAAACGTAATAATCAGGGAAACGAATAGATTCTTCCGAACATGAGTGCACGGAGGAAACAAATAAAAAGTCACTCGCTGCAGAATTAAGAGACGAAATAACGACAACACGAAAAATGGACATTGATGATCAAAATGAAACTCACGCATTAAATTTAACAAGACAATATGAGTCGCAAACCAAAACGGAAAAAAATAATAAAGTATGCCTCCGAAATGACAAACAAAAGAAACTCTATAATGAATGTAATGGCAATATAGAACTTACAAGTATCATTGAAACTAAAATGCCAATGTATTTCCTAAAGTTAAAAAATTTGTTACAATACATACAGGTACCGAATCCGTTTTCGGGTGTTAATTTTAATTTACTTATAGATAGTGGAGCTCAAATCAATATCATAAAAAGCGATTGTATACCATCAAACGCTATTTTGGACTCAGAAAAAATTTCATTATCCGGTATTACTGATAAAACAATTCAAACATTAGGTTTGATAAAAATAACAATTAATGGGTTGTTAATTGATTTTCATATTGTACCAAGAGAATTTTCAATCCCTTATGATGGCATTCTTGGCATACCTGTTCTGAAAGAAAATAAGTTAAGATTAGATGAAGGTTATTTGGAAATAAATCGTAGGAAAATAAAACTTGTATCAATACCGTTAACTCAAATGAACTCAATCGTTTTTACCGAAAACAAAAAGAAAGAGGAATCAAGGATAACAGAAAAACAAAAGGGATTTTTAAGTAAAATTTTACATGGCATTAATAAGGAAAATAAAACAAAAAACGAAAAAGAAAAACACTACGAAGAATCGAAAATCTTTGAGGAAAATAACAAATTTCATCCACTAGAAAGAGAAAATATACTAGAGGACCCCGAATCTGTTACATTTCCTTGCACAACAACAACGGATAAAATAAATAATGAAATAATGACTGCCAAAGATTTAAAAGTAGAACGCGAGATCGAAAATTGTAAAAACTCATTACTAATACCTTTTTCTTCCAACGGAATAACGAACTTGGAAGCTGAATTAGAGAAAGACCCTTCCAAAATAGAACACATGATTACCGATATAAATGTAGCAATGAGTATTGATAAAATGACTAACACAAAGGATGATTATGCAGACAATTACGATTATAAACAATTTATATCGGTTATAAAAGAAAATATAGGAATAGAATTCCCTTCGGAAAATACTGTTTCAGAAGAAATCCAAACATATCAATATTTATCTTTCGACTTAGAAAACTTTCCAAACAGTATTGAACTAACGGAAAATATAGATTTCAACGTCAATGAAAATGAAATTGTATACGCGGGGAGCATAAATTTTTTAGGAGAGGAATAAGAAAAAATTGAAGGAAATCAATTAAACCACAAGGAAAAAGTATTAGAAAAAATAAATTTGAGAGATTTAGTCGGAAACAACTATAAGATAATGAAAGAACTTATTGAGGAAAACGAAGATGTATTTTGGGCCGATGGCGACAGATTAGGTACATGTAATATAGAACAACATGAAATTAATTTAACAGACAACAAACCGGTTTACGTCAAACAATTTCCCTTGCCACACAAATTACGGGACATTGCTATTGAAGAAGTAAAATCATTGATATCTAATAATTTAATAAGGAAATCGAAAAGTGCTTTCAATGCACCAACATGGGTAGTGAAGGAAAAGAGCTTAGCAGACGGGAAAGCTAGATGGCGATTAGTAATTGACTACAGGAAATTGAATGAAAAAACTATTCCTGACCCATATCTAATTCCAAACATAACAGAAATATTTAATCAACTCGGGAAAGCCAAATTTTATCATGTTGTCGATCTAAAATCCGGTTTCCATCAGGTAGCAATGCACCCGAAAGATATCTTCAAAACAGCTTTTAGCATACATCCATTAGGAAGATTTGAATTTCTCGTTTTACCATTCGGATTAGTAAACTCGCCTAGAACATTTCAAAGAATTCTTAATACAATTTTGGGGGACTTAATCGCCAATACATGCTTTGTTTTTATTGACGATATAATCATCTTTGGAGAAACAGTGGATGAGGTCAATAAACGTTTTTCCGAAATAGCTCAAAAACTAAGAGAAGCTAACCTAAAACTTGAACCTCAAAAATGCGATTGGCTCAAAACAGAAGTATCTTTTTTAGGACATATTATCAGTGAATATGGGATTAAACCAGATAAAAAAAGTACAAGCTGTTGAAGCTTTTCCAACACCGACAATTACGAAAAACGTTAGAGAGTTCTTAGGGCTATGCAATTATTATAGACGTTTTATTCCAAATTTTGCAGAAGTAACAAAACCATTAACTATACTCTTACATAAAAACACAAAATTTTTCTGGAACAACGAACAACAGGAAGCTTTAAATAAATTAAAAAAACTACTATGCGAAGCACCTATCCTACAATATCCACAATTTAACAAACCTTACATCGTTAGAACGGACGCGTCGAATCATAGTTTGGGCGCGGTCCTTTCCCAGGGAGAATTAGGGTACGATAGACCCATCGCATACGCTTCAAGGGTTTTGAACAAAACAGAACAAAATTATATGACTTATGAAAGAGAGGCTCTTGCAATAATTTTCGCTATTAAAACATTTAGAACATACTTATTCGGAAATAAATTTAGGGTAGTAACAGACCACAAACCTTTACTTTCATTAAAGTCGGCTGATAATAATAGTAGGGTACAAAAATGGCGATTAAAACTAGTTGATTACGACTTTGACATAATTTATCGTCCAGGCAAAGAAAACGGTCCAGCTGACTGTTTATCGCGGATTGCGGTAGAACCAAAAATTTGTGTTATGACACGAGCACAAAGAAAAAGAACCGAGAACTTAGAGGAGGTAGTACAGACAAAATCATTAAATGTTGACAAAAAGGAACAAATTATAAATCACGCATGCATTCAAAAAAAGAGCAAACAGAAACATACATACAAATCCAACAATATAGATAAAAAATATATAAAAAATAGTAGCATTAATAATGATTATAATAGAGGTCATGTCATTTATAGCAAAAGTTCCATACAACTTCGTAATGATAACATTATCCATTTAATCTCTGAAAAACATGAAGGGCTAGACAAAAATACGAGTAACATACTTGCAGAGAAAAATTTAAAAATAAACAAAAATTTATCCAGTAATAATTTAGAAACATTAAACTACGGTAAACGAAAAATATTTATTTTGTGCCTGAACACTGCCGCAGCAACGGAAACAGTAAAACAAGATTTAGCCGAATTGTTCAAAAATTTGAAAAGACTTCTATTACAAAATAAAATCTCTATGCTGAGTATTTCAAAAAATATTGACATAAGAAACATACAATGGTCAGAAATAGAAGAAATCATAAATGATACTTTCATAGGAACTAACATCAAGACTATTGTTTGTATGAATCATGTTGAATATATATGTGAGTTAGACCAGAGAAATAAAATTTTTGAAATATATCATTCTTCGAGATTAGGAGGTCATTCGGGAGTGAATCGAACTTACAATAGAATTAAAGAAAAATACTGTTGGGAAAACCTAAAGAACGACATACAAAAAAGAATTTCCATGTGTATAGAATGTCAAAGAAACAAATTAAAACGTAAACCTACACGACAACCAATGATTATAACAGATACACCTTTCAAAACTTTTGATAAAGTTGCCATGGATATAATGGGGCCATTCGATATTACAAAAAGTAATAATCGGTACATACTTTCAATTCAAGACCAACTTTCAAAATTTATCACATTAGTAGCATTAAAAGACCAAACAGCGGAAGCTGTAAGCGAAGCTTTTATAAAAAGGTTTATTTGTACTTTCGGAACTCCAAAAATAGTACTAACGGACAGAGCACAAAACTTCAGAAGCAAAATATTAAAGCAAATTGCCAAAAGATTTCATTTCGAAAAAATTGAAACAACGTCATTTTCACCTCAATCTAATGGATCTGTCGAAAGGGCTAACCATCCGCTTTGCGAATACATCAAACAATTTACATCAAAAAAATGTGATTGGGACGAACTCCTAGAGTTGGCCCAATTCAATTACAACACCAGCATACACACTAGTCACAATTTCACACCACATGAATTAGTTTTTGCTTTTCCAGCTAACTTACCATCTAGCGTACCATTAAAAAAATCCGAACAATTACCAACTTTTTATGGATACCTAGAGAATTTAATAAAAAACATGAATATAATATCACACATGGCTAGAGAAAATCTAATAATCTCAAAACAAAAATCAAAAAATTATTATGACCGATTTACAAATCCAGTAAATTTTCAAATTGGAGATAAAGTATGGTTCATGAAAAAACCAAAACCGGGGAAATTAGAGAAAACTAAATATTTAGGACCTTTTGAAGTATTAAAAATAACTGAAAAAGGCAGTGTTGTAATCGATTACAATGGAAAACCAAAAACAATTCATGCCAATAAATTAAGCGTAGCAAAACAAGCATAGTAATCTTATTCTATTTCCAGGAAACACAATGGCGCAACAATCAATGACTATCTTAATCATAATCACCTTCTTTTCAACAAGCAAAGGACTTATTGGTTTCAATTGCGGCTCAACGAACCCTACCATTACAACATACTCACTCTTGGATGCAGGGGAATGTAATTTTCAAGAAATTCAAGTAAATAACACACAAGCCACTATCGAACTATTACAAAAAACGGAATTCAAATCAATGAAAATTATACAATGTAAAATAGAAATAAGGCGAACAATTTTTCATTGCGGTATGTTTAGTCATTTAGGCTCAACCGAAAATGCAATCCAAGAATACATTTACGAAATATCAGACGACAACTGTAAAGCTATACATGATACGGGTATTTTTAAATATGATAACGCACACACAATAGCCGACCTAAGGATTAACTCGACAAAAAGTGTAGGTTTAGATCTAGCAGGAAACGTTAAGGGTAAAACTTGTTCAGGGGCAGCCTACGCCGACCGATTTGGTACGTGGAGCGATTTTCTCGTACAAGGACTTATAAAAATAACCTTGTTAGAAAGCTATGCAGCAGTCGAATTAAATAATGATAGATTAAGATTAAATTCGGGTACAGTATGTAAGTTTTCGAACCAATATTGTATCGATATGTAAGGAGGTTACACCTTTTGGTCATTACTACCGCACGAAGACTGTTTCAAAAATCAATACGATATACTGTATAGGGGAACGATCACTAAAATAAGCTCACCCGATCATGAAACCATTTTTAGCATAAGTACGAACGAAGTATCCTTTGCATTGTCAACTAGAGGGAACATGAGTTTTTGCAACAGAATCTTAATAACAACTGAACATCCAAAACTTTTTATATATGAACGAACCCAATTAAATATTTTGTACGACAATGATATTCAAACGAAGCAAGGGATACTTAGCTATGATCTATTCACGTACTTCAATAGCAAATTTGTGTATGTAGAAAAGCATTTCAGGGTCGAAATAAAAAGCCTCTATATAGATATATTGCAACAAAAATGTGAATTGGAAAGGAAAGTCCTATATAACTCCTTATCCCTGGCATCCCTCTCACCAGATGAATTTGCGTACAACATCATGGAGAAGCCCGGGTACATAGCTCGCCTGGCAGGGGAAGCCGTACATATTATACAATGTACGCCTACAGAAATTCAACTACTTCATACAGACAAATGTTTCTCGCAACTTCCAGTCATTTCAAGAAACGAAACATTTTACCTCACACCAAAAACACACATCTTAATGAAAACAGGAACAGAAATAAACTGCAACACAATCATTCCTCAATACTACAAAATAGGAAACGAATGGATAAATTTGACACCAACTCCGAGAAGAACAACCAACGCAGTTCTAACCTTGAAACCGACCACCAAAATAACATGGAAACCGACGGAACTAGAATCATTGGCAACCAGTGGGATCTACTCCCAAGAAGACCTACAAAAACTACAAAATCACATCCTCTTTCCCATGGAGAAAGCATCACTCCTCAACGTAATCGCGAGAAGTATGCGAGGCGACGAAAGTGTAGAGGGAGGATTAGTATCAAACCTAATACTGACAGAACAAACATTAACCAACATCGCTGGAAGCACATGGAATAAGTTCATCACCAAACTAACTAAATTTGGTTCTATAAGTTCTGCCATCATAATGACCGCCATTATATTTCAATGCGGTAAAAGTCTAATCAATGTAATAATCAGAGGCTATACTCTACACTCTATATATGAAATTTCTGCATACTTGCTAGGAGCCATATTTAGTTCAATAACACAATTACTGGTGGCACTGAACAAACCGCTGCTCAAACAGAGAAACCAAACTCCGTCAAAAGAGGAAGAATATGCATTGGATGAAATAGTAATAGACAAACAAAAAAATGAGAACCCACAAGCAATAACCCCATTCACGAATCAGACCTTAAACACCACATCCCCCGTCCCTACTCCTAAAGAAATTTCCACCAGGAAGAAGCAACATATCCCAATTTTCACATTAGAATCACATTAGTTAAAAACACAAATCTGTTATATATATACATATCGAACCCTGAAATGAAGCTCTACTATACCGTAATACGGAGTATTATTGTCCGCGTAACATTAAAAGTACTATTAAGGTAAAATTAAAGCGTATTCAATCGATTGCCGAATAACTAAGAGTAACGCACATTTATTTACTTATTTATTTATTTATTTATTTTTGTTTTCCTCTCTCTCATTTCTCTCTGTTTATTTTGCGTTGATATCACACCGATATACAACGATCTAGCCACGGAGGTGTTACGTCCCGAGACGTAACTATTTCTTCATTTTGATTTCATCAGCAATCAATTGAAAAACGAAATAATGTATAAACAACGAACGGCATTTTTACAAAATACAAACTCAGCGAAATTAAAAGATGAGTAGTCCGAAAATCTGGGGCGCCCGACATTTTGATTTTTTGATTACTCAACATATTAATATGGGCCGAAGAGTCAATATAAAAACAGAAGACTCGACTATTCGGCAGTTGATTCGCGACGCGCGACTACTCAATAACATTAAAATTTGTTAAAGTTCTTACGGGCTGATTCGCGACGCGCGACAGCCGAACAACGTATAATTCACCTACTATTATTTTTGAGAAACCATTTCTGTCATTGAATAAATAAATAATTACTTGAATCGAGTGTTCGTGCATCATTACCGACCGACCTCATATATACTTTATCAAGATAAAGCTAAACAGCCAACTTAACTCGAAATAATAACCCAGGTAAGTTCCTGTCACTATAATATTTACTAATAAATGAATGATCATACATATTTTAAAAATACACGTCACGGCTACGTAGTCGCGACATAACAGTAGAGACTGACCATCAAATGTACGTTTGACAGATTGAGTAGGAATAAGCCCAATAGTGCCATTAGGTTTGATCCCTTTACGATGAAGTCGTCTGACTTTAGTTATGGGAATGGGAGAATGGATTATATTCAAGAGTTACGAAGTTGAGAATTCAAGAGGAACATCCTTTATTCGACCTTGTTTATTACAACGGGAGAGAGGAATAGAAGTTCTGAGATTGTTAGAAGCCAATTTAGGATCACGAATAAGTTTATTTGCAGCTTGTCTAGTTTTAAGTGAAATGGACACTTTCTGAGGACCAGAGGATTGGATACAGCCAGGAAAAAAAGAATTACCGTCTAAGTTAGCAAGATGTTGACCAATTTTTGTGGCATTTAGTCTTGATTTTGTTAAAGTTTTGTCCAAAGGTTCAATAAAGACTAGTGTTTGTTGATGAGTATGTGTTTAATGAGTTTGCAGGCTTATCTAATTTGGTAAAGTGAACTTCAGGATTGGGAATACTCATAACTTGTGTGGGAGAGATCAAACTGTTTTGGGGGCTATCGACAAGCTTATCAGGTTCAATAGATTGGGAATCATTATTAGGTATCACAACACTAGATTTATCAGGTGGTATGCCACTAGTTAGCTCTGTAACTATAACTTCAGTCGTTGAATCCTCAACTAACATATTTTTACTCTGTGAATCATCATCTTCAGAAATATTTCCATCACTTTGAGACTTACATCTTTTTGAATGATTTTTATATTGAACTTCGTTCAATCTTTTATTCTTGAACTTACCACTAATTTTGTTATCGTTAATATTTTTTCGCCCCATTTGTGAAATAATTATACTAGGATTAAACTGAGAAATCAAATCATAATCGTTAGAAAAAGATGCATGGTGGCCAGAGGCCACCTGTAAGAGGTTATCTTTGGATGACAGAATTGGAAATATACAGGGATTAGAGAAAAACAGAAAAGATAGTTAAAAATAGAAGTATTTTAAAGTAAGATAGTTGTTACTAATAAAGAAATAAAGAGTAAAAAAGATTAGAGGGATAGATAGATAAATAAATAAAAAGAGAAAAACCAAATAATGCCTGAGTAGAATGTATTCGACGCAGCTGCCATCACCAGACTCGGATTCAATCTGCTGCCGGTGGACTGACGCTACTAGCGTGCTCGTCGACAATGATGGGAGGAGCCACCGCTCAGATTGGACGACGTTGTCGTCATTGACTGCGCGCGCACGCGCTCACATACCGACTACATGAACGGCGACCGAACAACTTTCATATTTTTTTCTGGGAAAATGTAATACGAGCAAATTCTTTGGCTAACATGAGTAAACCGAGCAAATTCGACTTTATTGAAAATTATTTTTTTTTATTTTGAGTATTTTCCGGGGTTGATGTGGGTGGGGGTAATATCAATTAGTTTTAAATTTGAGGGCTGACAAATTCATCTGCTTTAATTAAAGATCAATTTTTTACGAAGATTTAAGATTTGAAGTTAACATTGAGATAGTAATAATTTACTTCAAAATATAATTTTGCTATGCTTATAGCATAGCAAATATATATATTCTTATATTTCTTATATAAATTAAGAAATACTCTATCAAGATATAAATAACAACCATCATTATAATGGTGCGATCTACCCACTACATTTGCATAAACAAATGACCATGATGAATATTAATGAATATTAATATATAATATTATTTCAGGCTCAAGAGGTTGAAGAAACTATGAAACGTATTCAATCTCACAAAGGGGTTGTAGGAACAATTGTTGTTAATACAGAAGGTATTGCATGCAAAAGTAAAATTGTACATTCTTCATTAAATTAATTCTATATACAAATAATATGAAAATATTTTGCAGTATCTTAACTAGATTCAGAGTTATTGGAATATGTGTGTTTATGTTTGCATGTACTTGTGTAATATGTATTATGGGCAGTACGTGCAAGTTAAAGTATATCCTAAGAATTTGAATGTTTTCTTATCCCGACATTTTTTATTTTCTAGACTTTGGTTTGACTTTATAGTAATCATTTAAGAGCCTTGCAACCAATTGTCATTAGCCATTTTACTATGTCAGTTTTGTTATGTCGATCTACAGTTTATATTCCAATTGCATTGCCAAAGCCCTGAAAAATGATTTCCAAAATACTTTAGTGAATATAGTTGCAATCAAGGTTCAGAATAGATAATAAATCTTAATATATTTCTTGATTTCAAAAAGGAAATAGGTACTATATTTCATCTGAATAATTATTATGTATATTCATGTATATCTTGAGAAAAACTTGACCGATTTTTTAACAACTAATTTATTTATAAACTAAAATAGTTTTGTTTTCCTATTTAATTGAATATAACAATCAAATCTAGATATTCCAATACCATGTTGTCTGTGTCCAAAAAGAAATATGTACAGGTTTTATAATCATTTCACAATAAAATACAATTTATTTATATTTAGTAAACTATATTTTTTATAAATCTATTCTAGCAATATATACAAATGTTCAAAATAAAATTTTTTATTTATTTTGAATATACTGAGTTTTAGATTAACTTTTATTGTAGTAAAATATTTTGTAGGATATTAACTGTTAATATTGATTGTTACAATTTCAAAGGAATGCCCCAGTTAAAGAAACTGAAACATCCCCCCATCAAAATAATCAAAATAAACTTCAGCTATTTTGTATGAAAGGTATACAAATCAAAATTTTTCTACGTCTTATCTATATGTATAATATAAATATATATATAACATAAATACTGTCATTTTTACATGCTAGTGATGTCAGGAGCACTTGACATGCTCTTTTATTCTTTTTTGTTTCTTGTTATATTGATTAATATATTTAATGTAAATACTTTTTTTAAAGGTGAATTTTTTAATTTTTTTACCTAACATCACCGCTAAAAAATATGTATAAGTAAAACAGTTTCATACTTCCAAATTCATGATTTATCATATCAAACTGTAATAAATAATCTTTTAGTTTTTTTCAACTATACGGATCAAATTATTATTAAACATTTATTCTACACTTCAAATAAATATTAGAAATTACATTTATTTCAATCTTAAACATTTAAATAATAGATTATTGATTAGTAATAAATCACAATTATAACAATTTCAAAGTATAAGCTCTTGTTTTTACGAAGCCTTTGATTCCCTGTTATAATAATTTTGTAAAATGAGTGTTGAAACAATAACACTGAAACTTATTTTTTTGTTTTCATTCCTTTCAAAGAGACCTGTATCAATTATGATAAATTGAATTTTTATTACTAAAATCTCAACTCAAAATCATACCTACTTAATTATTTGCTACCATATAGAAGTACATAGGTAATTAGGTCGCGACATTGATATTTTGGAAATAATCAGCTTAAAATGTTTAAAATTTAACTTCAAATTATAATTTCTGAATATATTTTCCAAAGTAGCATTTAATTTTCATAGTAAAATAGCTACAAATATTGTAAAAAAAATTTTACATAGCAATTTAAGAATATTTGTAAATATTATGGAGGGAACAACATATGATTATTTGTATGTAATAAATGAAGTATGGGTCTCAAGGTTTTTTATACAATTTATTTTAGTTTTATCATATAAATAATGATTGTAAATAATATTGAAATAATCAATGATCCATAGATTGTAGTAAAAGTTAAATAACTTTCTTTAATTGATAAAAAAACTAAATAATTTCATACATTTTATAATAATTTTACCAACATTCTTTTAAACTTCAAATTATTCATGACTAAACACATAACACTTAACATTATAACAATCACCAGTTCTATCTTTATCGCTAAGAATATTTTCAATATTTGGATAATAAGATCTTTTTTAATTACATTTTGACCATGCAAATCATTTAGAAATAATTTAAAATTTTAATGGATTGCACAAGCACAAGTGTCTCTTGCTGTACCAGTTGGCTGTAGAAAATAAAATGGTTTATAAATACAAAATATTTTGTAGGATAACTTTAAATTAGTTTGTTTAAAAAACTTGTTATATAAATCTCGCAAAAATGCATTCAAATACTTCTTTTGTCTTTTTACTTTGTTTTTAGAAATACATGCCTTCTTTCCAAGATATATGCTAATATTGTCACCAAGAAAACATTTCATTTTATTTTTCATAGTGTCTTGTTTAAGAAATTGCTAAGAATTCTTTGATTGATTGCGTTTCTGTTGATTCCTTCATCGTAAGGAATTTTCACTCTTCTTTTCACAGAGCTCATAAAATTGTATTTTCTAATTAAAATTTCCATATACAACTACTTTTAAAGATTTCTTTAATATAAGTTCATTCTCTAGCTAATGAAAAAATTATTATAGTTACAAAATTTTTACAGCTAATTTTTACTTATATAAAATCTTAACTTACTAAACGATTTTCAATATCAACAGGAATCTTTCTACCATTCAAAAATTTTTTAACATTTTTGATAGGTGAAATGCATTTCTCACTTGTTGTTTCAACTGCAAACATTTCAATCTTTTATTCAGATTATGAATTGATGAATGTAATTTTACATTCTCTACACGCAATTCTGAATTATTTTTATAGCAAACTCTTCTCAATTTTCTAGCTTATTTTTTTCCTACTTACAGTTTGCTTACTAACGATAGGTTTAATTGGTGAAGGTACATTTTTTGCATTATTAAGCCACTGCTGCTTTTGCTCAGCTCTATAAAATATAATTAAATGACAAAAAATATTTAAAAGTAATAAAATACTATTCTAATAAATTATGGTATATATAGATAACATAAAATGTACCTGTAATTTTGCTTGTGTTATTTTTTATACTTTTGATGTAATCTTTGTAAGATAAGACATTTGATGTACCAATTTAATTTTTCCACTCTGTTTGCAACTGTTATACCTTTGTTTTTCAGATTCACGATACTTCTCCAGGGCATCCGGGTTATTTTTTTCTTGTTTCTCTGCGGCTTTGTTGATAATCTACATTTTGTTGTCTACGCCGCTCAACTTCAACGCTACTTTTCTTAGACTTACATTTTTTTCTTTACCTTTGCATTCTCATATTTATTCACACCTAGACTGTTAATTGGAAGAAGGTGTTTGAATCGTTTCGAATGTCTCAGATTTCGGAGATGTTACCATTTGTTTTCCTACATGAAATAATAAAAGAATTTTTAATAATTGACTAATATACATCTGTTAAGTACTTAATCATTTGTTTGCATTTGGAGGAGACATTTATGACGGAAGGAACATTACACTTTCCGTACCCTTACACAAGAATTTTACACAAGAAACACTTTCTATATTGAAATTACGTAAAATCATGCTAAAATATGTTTTTTTTACCGTAAAAACAATAAATATGAAAAAAAATGGCTTTCCTTATCTTTGGAAGGAACAACAATCTTCTACATTGAAATCGTAGCAATTTCAGACGTTTGAGTGTTTTAAAACACTCGACACTAACCTATAAATGTTGTGTTATGTGGTTCCGTAGTTTTCTGCACTGTTACCGACTGTGAACAAACCTGAGCAGTAGTGCGGAAAACTCATATAGCGCACAATTCAAAAATATGTCATTTCCGTGGACAAAAAGTGAAAGTACTTTCTAGGTTTCAGAATAGTTTTTAGATAAGCATATTTTGAAATTATCTTGAACAGGGATTGATGAAGCGATACGTTTTTAGATAAATTTTGAAATGATTTTAAACTTTTATGTTGTGATATGCTGACGCAGGGGACATTTAGGGTACTTTTCAAGTTCGGACAAATTCAGAGCACAATTTAACGTTTATAATACTTTAAATTATTGTTCTCTTCTACGAAATATATATTAGGCTTTGGCAATGTTCACAACTTGAAATATTTGAGCACTGGGAGTCGTGACCACATGATTTCGACTTCTCGATACAATCACCTATATCACATGACCATATCTCAGTCAGTCAGATCACAAATAAAGTGCATTAATAAAAATTAATAAAATAACATAGCATTCAACACTTTTAAAAGGGGACTAGAGGTTTATTAAGTGCACGTACCACGCGTGTGGATCTCGTTCAGGGGGTAGTCTGTCATATAATTATTAGTTTTTAACTTTTTAAGCATTTTTAAGCAATTAAATAGTAATTGAAATATAATGAAAAAAGTTTTATTTATTTAATGTTCCAATTGAAAATATTTGATTTAGAATAAAATTTATGAAAGTAGGTAAACTAGAGGCCTCAGCTCAGAGGGGTATCAGCTCAGTGAGCTGATGCCCGTGCATTTTCACTTTGGCACTGTCACCTCACCTCCTCCTCTCCCCTTACTGAGCTGATGCCCGTGCGTTCTATGTTCCACACTTTCGGTTCATTACGCCCCCCTCCCTTACTGAGCTGAGATGCTTCCTAAGCTAATGCCCGTGCATTTTGTGTTCCGCGCTTTCTGTTCATTGTGTTTGTGTGTGTGTGTGTGTGTGTGTGTATTTGTGTGTGTGTATTTGTGTGTGTACGCGCATGTGTGTGTGTGTGCGCGCTTGTGTGTGTGTGTATTTATTACTTATTGTAATTACTAACTCTTAATTACTTATTGTAATTACTAAGTACTGCTGCTGCTGCTGCTGCTGCTGCCATCGTCGTCAGCGAATAATTTCGTTATTTTATAGCGCGGTCCACCGTTCAGCCAATCACAAATGTTAGCCGTTTTTTGCTGGCAATAACGGTGCATAGTGGTTGACTGGTGGTGGTGGTGATGCCGAACGATGTTGGGGGCTGCTGATTATTCGTCAATGTCGAGGACTGCTGGCTGTTTATTGATATTGATGTCAACGGTTGCTGGCTGTTCGTTTCCGTCGGAGACTTTGATCGGGTCCGAAACCGCTGACGCACAACGTGTCTAACGGGTCCGGTTCTGTCAACGTGTCTCCGACTTCCACGCTGTGAAGGTGACTCCACCCATTGCGGCTACTAACTGCAACGAGCAGCAGCGCAGTATGCGCAGTTCCAGTCCTCGCAGTCAGGCATGGTGTCGTCGTGATCGTCGACCTGCAACAAGAAAACAAATAAACTTATAATAGACTACCCTGATTAGAAAAAAAAGAGTATTATTTGTATTGAAAAAAAAATTCATACCTTTTCTCATTGGTGCGATGTTTCTCATTGCTCTTGCTGCTATGGTGAAACTAAATTCACCAAGAGCGGTTGAGGAACATTTGTAATTTAACTTGTGAAACCGATGGCTTGCAATTATCTGAAAGGCTTCACATGTTAAATTGCAAATGTTAATGAATTTTTTCTCGGAAACTGCCCCTAATAAAAAAAATTATAAAAACACTTTTGAGTCAAAATTTCGTGCTCTTTGAGAATTCAAGGTCAAAAGTAAGGGTTCCTATTTAAAAAAACAAAGTTGACTTTGAGATGCCCGTGAAAATCATTTCCAAGGTCAAATTAAAGGTCACCGCTGAAATCCTTAACTGATTTACTAAAATTTTGTATGAAGAACAGATATGTTCTTCATATTAAATTTTCTATATTACTTTATTATACTATTATTTATTATATATATTATTATATTATTATATTATTATTATTTATTATACTCTAATATACTATTAGAACAGATATGTTCTTCATATTAAATTTTCTATATTACTATGCTGATAATGACGAAACCGAGGTGTCAAGTACTGTGAAAAGAATGTGTAGAGAACAAAGAATAAAATAAGAATTGTACATGAGAGAGAGAGAAATGAAATTTGAATTAGAGTTTATATACTCTCTTTCATATACGCACGCATGCATTTTCATTCTTTTTTAATATAGAGAACAGAATCTTTTTCAATATATATATATATATATATATATATTAAAAAAATATATATTAAAGCAGAGAGAGAGAGAATGAAAATAAATACTTATAATATTGACGGCGAAGGTTTCATAGTTCTCATCTTCGAAATATCAATATGTAGAGGGAGTGTTTGCGGCAACTTCGGATCTGCTCTTGCTGGAGATTTTGGTGTAGTGACAGTGTTAGACGATGAAAATATAAACATCTTGTCCATGAGTTGATCCAACTCCTCACAGAAAAACTCATCGTTGAGGGCTGCTACAGCTGCATCAAGTGCATCTTGCCACTGCTCGGCATCCGTCGAGAGAAAATTCTCCAAATCTCTAAGAATGTTGCTCTTGGCGCTCTCCATTTCTTATTTTTTTCACAACCCTATAACTGAACTTTAATTGCTAACGAAATATTCATTGACGTAACGTCACGAATCAATTCACTTTTTATTTCTTCCGCAAACACTTACCGGGCATCGGTCATTGGATTAAAAATTGGAGGTGAGAGAACACGCAACTACATACTTTGATTTTTGTCGCGCACATAAGACGATTATAATCAGTGGTGGGAGTATTTAAAACATAGTGGTGGGAGTAACTGAAATAATAGTGATTAGTGCGGAGCAGAGACGCGAAAGTGCATTAATACACGATCGCGATCCTACTTACGCTTTGTTTTCACTCAACATGCAAGGCATTTAAATCGGTTAATTGCAACAGACGAGCTGCAGGCAATAGCTAGCCGTTAACAGTGTCAAGCTGCATCGGCTCATTTCATTGATATCATCGATTATTATTTATAAATTTATAATAAAAACATTAATTTATAATGAATTTTTTAATAAATTTATAATAAAAAAACAGCACTCTTCAGTGCTACATGCATGAACAATAAAAAAAAAAGATAATTATTGATAAACTGTAACTTTACAATTTCTTTATTAATCCCTTTTGTATTTTTTTCAGCGGAAGTAGCAGTAAATATAAGGTTGGCATTTTTTCAGTTATGTTAAAGGTAATAATAATAATTATTTTCTTTGTAATTGCGCGTGTACTTTTTCTCTTGCCACTGTCAAGCAGTGATCGGCTCATTTCAGGGCTACTTCTTCTTGTCCACGTTTAAAACTCCTTCGTAATAAAAATTATTGAAAAATTTGACCAAACTCATATATCAATTATAAAACAGCACTTTTCAGTGCAATATATATATATATATACGAGGTCTGTCCGGAAAGTATCGGGCCTACCTTTATATTTTCGTGCTAGCGTTATTCTTTATCATCTGGCGGGTGGTATCCTTCAAAGTAATCCCCACTTGATTGAATAACACGGTTCCATCGATGTTTCCACTTTTCAAAATAGACACAAAGATTGGATGAATGCGCTGGCGCATTATCGTGATGGAGAAGCCAGTCACCACTTTCCCAAAAGTGCGGCCGTTTTCTTCTTACTGCATCACGCAAACGTTTCAAAATTGGAACGTAGTATTCTTCATTGATTGTCTAACCTGTTGGTGCATATCCGTGATGTACAACACCTTCACAATCGAAAAAAACAATCACCATTGACTTAACATTGCTCCGACTTTGACGTGCTTTTTTTGGTCTTGGCGATTCAGAATGCTTCCACTGTGAAGATTGTTGTTTTGTTTCAGGATCATAACCATAAACCCATGATTCATCACCTGTAATAACTTTTCTAAGCACATTATCATCATTATTGACCATTTCCAGATTGTCCAGAGCGATTTCTAAGCGAATGTTCTTTGGCTCTGCTGTGAGCAATTTTGGGATGAATTTCGCACACACGCGTTTCATTCCTAAATTTTCGGTTGAAATTTCTGAAATGATAGTTTTTGGTATCTCAAAGTCTTCTTCTAGTTTTCGCACAGTCCTACGACGATCTTGTTCGATTGGAAGTCGCACCCGCTCAATATTATCTGCGGTTTTTGTCGTCGAGGTCGGCCGGAACGAGAATCACTATCGACAGAAGTGCGACCATCCTTGAACCGTTTATACCCCTCTTTTATTCGTGTTTTGCTCATACACTCGCTTCCGAAGGCCTTTTCCATCATTTCAATAGTTTCCGAACTCGTTTTTCCGAGTTGAAAGCAAAATTTGATGCAAATTCGTTGATCTTGTTTTTCAGTCATTTTTGACAATATCAAAATCCGACGAACGTGAAAAAGGCACTGTAAACAAACGCACGCTGCGCATGAACTATACGTCCGGCAAATGTCAGTAAGTAACCAATAGATTCGTGAGGCTTTACTGTTGACATTTCTGTCCGGTAGAGGTCGCTCGAACACTATGGCGCGAAGATATAAACGTAGGCCCGATACTTTCCGGACAGACCTCGTATATATATATAGATGAATATGGTCGGTGGAAGAGTGTGGACGTGTCCTGGTTGTGAGTGCGAGTTTTGGTGAGAAAGTTAAAGAGGAAAGGTGTTTGAGGAGTAAAATAGAGGTGAAAAGAGTGTGGAGGCGGAAGAGGAGTGGAGTAGAGAGAGAGAGGTTAGGAGAAGAACAGGAAAAAGCAGAGAGAGAGGAATAAAGAAAAAAAGAAAAGTTGAGGTTAAGAGAGAAAAACAGGAAGCGGGAAAGGCAGGTAGAGAGGAGGGGCGATAAGAAGTAAAG